ATAACATGTCAAATAGGAAGAGCGACGTAGAAGAAGGGAAGAATTATAAGAGAAGCATTAAAGTGTGTCCCAAACCGCCTGATTATAGCTACAGAGCTAAAGTAGACAGAGTTCTTCATTCGGATGTTTTTAATGATTTCATAAAGAGAAATGTGTTTTATTCCTCCTTGTCATGTTGATCGAGGATTAGAGCTAATAGAGGGAAAACAGACAAATTACAATCTGTGACCAATTGATTGGTTCACAGAACACCACCCATTCATCCATCCATCCATCCATCCATCCATCCATCCATCCATCCATCCATCACGCCAGTGTTAAGTGATCAAGCGGTGACAGCCTTCATTAAGATTCTTGCTTAAGAAAGTTTTCTGTTTCAGGAGAGATTTGAACATTGTGTGTGTTGACTCAGTCAGAGCTGTTACATCAAAATCCAGTGAAATGCAGACTGTTTGCTAAAGCCTTCACGCGTTCCACATGATCAGGCATCAACTGGGAAAATCCCCTTTTCTTCTCACAGCTTTAAAGTCTTCCGAAAGAAACAGCTTCTGGCAGGAAGACGTATCTTCCAGAAAGAATCGCAGCACTTATTTCAGTTTCCACTGCTGCTTCAGCGGCCGCCTCTTGAAAGTTTTTTTTTTTTTTTTTCCAAACAAATACAGCAAAGCGATGCAGTCTAAGATGTTCAGCTGCTCGCTTTTCCTCCGTTTCTGTGCGCGCCGCAGCGCTTTTCCTGTCAGCAGTTGTGGTGGAAATAAAGCTATCGTTTTAAGGCGCATCAAGCTCAGTGTGAAGACACCGTTCCTCAAAGTTGACGTCACCAAACCTCAAAGAGAGGTTTTCTTTCCACAAAGGAAGAGGGAAAGAAAGCAAAACTACTTCTCCAGTATAATTATTTCTGTACTTAATACATCGGATTTCCAGTTTCGAGGGAGAGACGGAAAGCACTAGGAAACACTATGAGGAAAACATACAAACCCTCAGCCAGTCGCTGCAGAAGCTCATTCTCAGCTCTGGTTCTGCTGGAGGTTTCTTCCTGTTGAAGGGGAGTTTTTCCTCTCCACTGTCACTACATTCATGCTGTACAAGGATCACTGTACAGTCCAGAACCTAATTCAAGTGATTTTCTACATCCTTGTCCAGGAGGAGTGAATATTGCATGTCAGTGACTGACTGCTGGGGTTCCTTAGATAGAAATGTTTTAATCTACTTTGAAGAATTTGAGCACATCGTACTGCTTGATAACTAGGATCGATTAGAAAGTATGTATGTGTGACTGAATTGACATGATTTCTTATAATGTGCCTTGAGATGACATTTGTTGTGAATTGCCATATATAAATAAAACGAACACCGGTTTAAACCTCTGAAATGAAACAGCCAAGAGACTGCCAAGTTGGTGTTTGAAGTCCCTGTGTTTTGTGTCAGACTGTCACTGTGAGCGCAACGTGGAGCGACTTTTCAATCCCACTCGACGTTGAGACTCTTAAAGGTCAATATGGCATTGATTTCACTGAGCCTCATCGTGGATCACACCATCAGCCCCTAAGACAACGGCAGGCTGGCTGAAGCTGACTCTAACCTTCCTTAACTTTGGAGTATGAAATAAAATTACAAGGGGAAAAAGTGAATTCTATCTGCAGCACGACTGCACAATACATCCACAGAACTACTTATAATACCTTCGTATCCAATGAGAAGATCACAACATGCTAAATGTGTTGGCTGTTATATTCCAAGAATCAAGGATTTACTCTGTTGGGTCAAAGTCCCATTGTTAGCTTTTGGCTAGAGTTCAATTCCACTAGATACCCAAAGGTTAAAGGTTGCATTTAAACAGGGTTAAATTATGGTGCACCAACATTTCAAAGACAACACGATGGTTGTTTTCTGTTGCAGATGGCAGGAGTAACAAAGCTAACCGCGGGCAGTTTTACCTTGAAGCCATTAGTGTTTTCTGAGTTAAGAGATCAATAAACTGATAGAAAATGTATTTGGGAAAAATTTAATTGAAATACCAAGTATTTGGCCAACTTAATGTTGAAGCTGTGGGTTTCTTTTAGGACCCTTACCATTAACTAATGCAATTAATCTGAAACTTTAAAGGCATTAATATCATGTAGAGAGCCGTCCATTGGAATCTACTGAATCTGATGCAACATAATAAAAGCTAACAGTCTTTATTGTGGATGCTGACACTGTTGGGGTCAAAATAAAACTCTGTTTTGCAGTAACTGATAGAGACCAAAAAGCTATTTCCATACATTTTAAATATTCCAGATCATGAGACAGTGTTGTTTGGAATGAAGAGCATCAGAACAGGAAGAGAAGAACCAATGGGATGCATCTCCAAGCTACCTGTTGTCAGGACAACACGAAGCTCTGCTGCACCTCTCTGAGAACAGGCCTGAAAGTTCCCAGCTGTTCCCTCCGAGCACACGGCTGCCAGTCAGCAAGCTTGCTCCAACACTGCGCCTTGCATATGAAACAGGACATGGCCCTCCAGCCCCTCTGGGAGTTCACTTCCTCTGAGCCCCAACCACCACAGACCCCTCCTCCCGCCTGAAACAAGCGGCCCCTTCAGCTGGAGGCCAGATATCCCGAGCTGCAGCAGCGAGGGGGGGAGGGGCAGGAGCGGCCCTCTAAGTAAAACTGGAAGTTAGAGAACGTCCCAAAGTTTAAAAGCATCCCTGCAGCTGTGGAGGAAAATGCATCGACCGCAAACAGCATCTATTTGTAGGAGTTAAAAGCTCAAAACAACCACACACGTCAGCTTCAATTTCAGCCTGCTTTGGTTTTCACAGAGATATCCAGAGTAAACACATGGTGACGGGCTGCAGGAATGCGCTGGCTGTCAGCATAATAACAACATGTGTGGAGCAAGCGCAAAGTCTGTTTTATTGTTCTCCTTGGAATCTTGATGCACTTTTATCCCGACACGGATCAGTTTCCCCCAACCTGTGATGGAGGACTGCTCTTTACACCAAACAGGAAGCGAGGTTTCCACTAAAGTTAGCAGCGGTAAATAGCAGGCCATGCGAACGCCATGCTTAATGTCCAGAGGCAGCAGCAGCAGCTGAGGCTTAATGACCAGATCTACCTACAGAACGGGAGGTTCAGCTTGGAACATCAACTCAGTCTGCAAAGCCCCCCGCTGTCCCCCTCCCCACTCAGCTTGCAGTGCATGGCTCCTCTTTGCTCTCATATCTTCTCCAAACAGGCAGCCTGCGGAGAAATCACTTCATCTTGAGGGCAAATTATAAAGTTAGAAACTTGCTAAATCTGTGGCCACAATTCTTATCTAAACATCCTGATGCGGAAAGCCACTGATTATGTGCACCACCCACATGTGCACCAGCCAGAAACCAAAGAGTCTCACAGCCAAGGCCTGGCATCAGAACTCCGCATCCAGCTCAGCCCCAGCGCTGCGCCACATCAGCCCGCCGCTGTTCATGGCGCCGTGCATCCTCTGAGATAAGCAGCAGGGAACGGAAAGCTCATTCACCCTGGGACCCCCGACAGGAGGGAGAGAGCCGAGGTCCTCTGCGAATCAGTTGCGAGCACGCCTCAAGCTGAAGCTTTCAAAAGAGCGTCTGCAAGGAGGGAAGTGTGGCAATATCACTTCCTGCGTCTGTCTGCATACGAGACTGCTGCTCACACTTCTGTAACAGCCTCATTAATATTCACAAAAATGGCTGTCTGCTGAGCTCCCACCACCACCACATTGTCCTCTGTGGGCCTCGCCGCATCCACAGAACCTCTTCACATCCACAGAACCTCTTCACATCCACAGAACCTAGCCACGTCCCATAATCTCGATAGTAGCTTTATGAAACAGGAGTGGGTTGAAAAGGCAAGAGGTGTCCTCACTCCAGCCTGAACACAAAGTGTGTGTAGCCTTGTACCCAGCAGGCATTGCAGGACTCTGGAGGATTCCTGAAGTTCCTATTTGGTTTCTGGGTCTGACTGGAAGACAGCGGCCTGCCTCCAAACACTTCCTGAGCTCCTTCAACAAGAAGGCAGCCGAGTCTCCAATCAGAGGCTCCAAAAGGAAGCAAAATAACCCAGGAGGTGAGGAGGAGAAGGGGCAGGGGGGAGCATGTCAGAGGTGGGGATGGGTGGTCTGCTCTGTTTACTGAATGCTCCCCTTTGTTGGAATCATATTATGTTCCCACCACAATACTCTAAACCCTGCTTCATCAGCTCCATTGACGTGGAACAGTTGATGCAAATGGCCGCACTGGGCTTTTTCACCAAAGGGGTGGATGTGGGGGTGAGACTCCTTTTAAATCAGCCGATCCCCCTCTGCAAACCCCTTCTCAGGATTTCACCCACACTTTCTAAAAGTTTCCGTCTCATCACCTGAACCTCGGCAAACACAGGGACACATCGAATCACTCCAAGTGTGTGAAGATCAAATTATTCATTCAGAAATTAGACAGAAGGCTGCAGAAAAATATTGAAAATCCAGTTTAGAAACAACCAGACAAAGTTTGTTAGCTCAGGGTGTAAAAATCCTTGGAGAACACTTTGATTACACCTGGGAATGGGAAATAAACTACCTTCAGGTGAATGTCTCCCTCTCAGCCAACCAATGCTTGCACCCCCCACTGAGCCATTTGTTGCTACACAAGATGTGTTTACTGTACCAGCCAATAAAGAAGGCTTTAAGAGTTTCACGACTCGAATAATGACTTTATTGCCACCAGAAGCGTTTTGTTGTCACCACTGGATGAGGCCTAATTAGTGTCAATATGCCAATGATGACCGAAATGAGGGCTTCCTCAAAGTGAGAAGACCCTGGGAGAAGACGGGACCTGAACAGGGATCAGACAGAACTCCATTTTAGGGATAGGAAAAACTTTGGGGCCAAAAGTGTGATCCACACATGGATTCCTTCCTTTGCATGGGGAAATCAGTGGAGAAAGCATGGCAGAGCTCAAAGTTGTCAACAGCAGCAACAGCAGCAGCGGCGCTCGAACGCAGCCAGACTGACTCACCCTGGATGATGCTTTCCTCTTGTACTTGTTGGCGAAGTCAAATTTCTCTTTGATCTCGTCCAGCAGCAGCTCCAGTCGCGCCTTCTCCTCTTTGCCCGTGTAATCCTGACCCAGGAGGATGTACGCCCTCCAGTTCGCCGAGTCGAAGCCCCAGTGGCAAGTCCTGTTCTCCTGCGCTTTGTGGCTGTGCACCACGAACTTGTGGGTCGGGTACATGAGTCTGCAGTCCATGCACTGGATGCACGCTGCGTTGGGGCTGCTGTACAGCTCCGGCACGAACAAGCCCTTGCACTTGCCGAAACACTCGTGGTAGATCTTGAAGCTTCGGTCGGTGAGCTGCAGCTCCAGGGAGCCGGAGCCCGGGTCCTTCTTGCATCGCGGAGGGTACGCTCCTCCATAGATCAGGGCGTTGCAGAGCCGCTCGGCGTCCGTCTTGGTGATGAGGCCGCAGGACGGCGCGGAGAAGGGCAGGATGCCCATGACTTTGAGGATCTCCAGCTGGTCCGCCGTGCAGCGGGAGCAGTAGATGTGCAGCTCGTCGCACACCGAGTTGATCTGCTGCAGGGAGAAGTCCCGGAGCACCGTGTTGAGGATCTGCGGCAAGCACAGGCGTTTCTCCCCGCCGACCACGAAGCACGAGATGGTCTCCCCCTCCAGCACCGTCTCGCACCTCTCAGTGGAGCGGTCGGACGGGATGAACAGCGGGCCCGGCATCACGGGCGGCGGCAGATGCTGCAGGACTGGCTCGGGCTCTTTCCCGTCCTTCTTGAAGAGGAGCTCATGCTGCCACCGAGCCGAGAAAGCCGCCGGTCCGCCCAGGGAGTTTATGGCGCTGAGGTGGAACTGCTTCAGAGTTTGTTGCAGTCCCGGGTGAGGCTGGAAGCTCTGCCGACTTACAGTCTCCATGTTTGTCTTCCAACTTTGGAAGCGTAAATCCTTCTCGCTGAACGGTAATCACAAGTATCGATCCGTCCCCCGAGCTGGTAAATCCACGGCGTCCCAGAGCTGACGAGCACCGAGAAGAGCGTCATCAAAACCTCCAGCTGAACGGAGCTTTCAAAGATCCCACAACGGTTTCTGACAGTTTTAGTCCAGCTCAGTGAACATCGCTGCCCGCAGCAGGTCGCCGACTGTCCATTTAAAAAAAAAACAATAAAAATGAGACTGTCTGAAACTCCAGAGGGCCGAAAAGTTCCGCTGGTCGACTCCCAAAGCAGAGAAGGCGAAAACCAAGCGAAGCGGGGAAAAGCTCGGCGAGAAAGAAGGGGGGGGGGAAATCTTATTGTGGGTTCCTTTCCGCTGTCGAGGACTGCAGAGATCCGCTCGGTCTGCCCCCGCAGTTCACTCTGACTGGATGGAGATGAGAAGTCTGAGAGGCAGCCTGCCGTGCCCGTCCGCGCGCGCTCCCCCACTCCCCTCCCTGCCCGACTGACTGCCTCTCTCTCTCTCTCTCTCTCTCTCTCTCTCTCTCTCTCTCTGCCTCGCGCCCCGTCTAGCTCTCTCTCACGCGCCCTCTCCCTCCGCTTCCCTCCACCGCTCTTCCTCCACCCTCAGTGTTTGTGTGTCTGGCTCAGTCGTTGAATCCCAGCCAGGAATGTGAGCGACTCCGCAGGCAGGCCGGGCTCTTCCAGGAACGAGCCGTCACCCCCTCACCGCCGAGCTGACACCGTAGACACGCACAGCACGCACACGACGTGCGTCGCGCCACCACGCGCGCACAAACACGAGCAAAATACTGCGCGAAGCAGACCTCGAAGCAGGAAGGAAGGTGGAGAAAGTTAGAAGACATCTGCAGCTTTAAAGAGTGCAGGGTAAATGTTTGGTTTTCAATCGATGGTATTATTCTGTGTTGTAAACAGTGATGGCATAGTAACTTTGAAAAAGTAACTTTAATTGGATTACTGATTACTTCTTGAAAAAGTAACTTAGTTAAATTACTGACTACTTGATTTGGAAAGTAACTAAGTTACATTAAAAGTGACTTTTTTAGTTACTTTCAGCAGCTGCTAACAACAACGCTGCACCACCAGTGAAATGACATTGATCTTTGCCAATACTTAATTGCAAGTTATTTTATGATAGTAACATCAACAATGTATTTCCACTTATGTGGTTGAACTGAAGAGGACATTATTTAATGGTTGCAACAGTACAAAAAAAAAAAAACTTAGTAATTTGTGCGTGTTTTGTGTGTTTCTATTGTCTGGATCGCTTTGAGTTGCACAACTTTACGAACTCGCTCATTCGTGGCTGTTTTCGTGTTTATTGTGCTGTTCATATCAGTCTCGATGTTTCCAATTTTCTGGATAGTTTGACATCATTGAGAGCAAATATATTAGCTTGACATTAACAAAGACACAGCGGGACGGATCATCCGGGAAACGATGGACAGGGAGGGCCTGACTGAGACCACCTTCATGACGGACAAATTATGACTCTCTGCTTATTTCCAAACCCAAATGAGCAACTTCAAGTTCAAATCGAGCCCAAAAAGGCGCAACCCGCGACTCATTATATTTGCAAGCGACTTAAAAAAAAAAGAAGCCTAAAGCCGCTTATAATAATCAAACTTGGCGACAGAAACTCAAAATGTTCCCGTTTTTCCACCAACAAAATGCGCATCTCCCTCCATCGTTCACATTTCTGTTGCTGATATTGTCGCATAAAGACGTCGGTCACTCGACAAGACGTGAAGAGGAAATACAATTAGATAACAAAAGAAGATGGGAACGCAAAGTGACTTTGATAAGTAACTGTATTCTGACTACTGGATTTGAAACAGCAACCAATTAGAACCAGGAGGAGGGTCTTAGTGCTGTCAATCATCCTCATTCACTCACTTCTAAATGTGCCAATGGTGGAGAAACAACTTATCGGTATTGCATAGCACAGAGCAAGGCGAGGGAGGGAGCAGCCGCATGAGATTGTGATTGATGGCAGTAAAACTCTCCTGCCTCTGATTGGTTGTTTCTTGATAGCACTGGGAGAAAGCAGATAAAATAGATGTTTCACAGATTATCTCTCATACCATATGGTCACAACATAATGACAGTTTTAACAGATATGTGAAAAAATATATATATATATATTTGTAAAAGTTACATACTGCAGCTTTAATTTCACTTGGGAGAGGACAGGTCAGGAGGGACGTGGGTTAGAGCCGCTGCTGACTGACTCACCTGTTGTTAAGTGGTAAGAGGTGCAGGTACAAGTTAAATATATAAATATCTTGGTCATTTCTGTTTCCTTAATTCATTAAATTCTAGTGAAATGAAGGCAAACAGTCTGTAGCTATGCTAAATGATTGATAATCTCACAGTCTGCCCATCTCTCTTGGAGAAAATTTGGGTTATAAATTGACACTCTTGTTTTTTTTTTCTCTCTATTTTTCTATATTTTTTTTTTGAAAACCTGACTTTATTATTCTTTCTTAGCAGCATAGTAACAGCCTCAGTCGTTCTTGTTTCCACTGACTGCTGCTGAACACCTGCTTCAAGCAGGAATGAACCATTTCATGCAGATCCAGGAGGTTCAGGGCAAATGAAAAATGCTTTTGGGTCTGGGAGTGGGAACAGTACATTTTTACTGCTAAAAACAGTCTTCGAAAATACAACATGATTAATTTTGTAATTGACAAAAAATAATAAAAAATAAATAAATACAATGCGGAGGGGGCCTTAGAATTGTCATAACTTTTCCCCCCCATAGGCGTCCCATGGTCTCTACACATCACTTAAATGTCACTTCTTCACAATAACATTTGATTTCATTGAGTTTTTCTTTATGATTTACTTTCCAATAACAACGACGTATAAACAGTGAAAATATGCAGGGCAAATACCAAGGGAAGGAGCAAAGCTTTAAGGTGTGTTCAAAGCAAAAAGGATTGTCACCCACTGATTTATCTAGTCACTGTGTGAAAAATGTGTTTTCTGAGATCAGACAAAAGCTTGCTGAATTCTGTAAATGATTCTATTTTAACATAACTTGCTTAAAAGAATGCAGATTCAGGGTTTTATTTGTGTAGATTAGCCATCTCAAAATGTCCAGGGGTGAGATTATGCAAGTCAGTTGGTTCAGTGAGAGAAGAACCAAAAAGAGGATGGGTGTTGTCTTGTGAGACAGGACATATTTAAGCGACACGTCTGGTTGTGGTTTAGTACTTTCTGCTTTAATGTGCTAAGAAGAAATATCAGTGACAGGCGATGTTCTTGTTAATGTTTTGCATTAACAGAAACGATCAGAAGTTGATAAACAGCAGCTAGGTTGGATTTATAATTGTTGAAAGCGAACCAGCGATACGTCAGTGTTTTTACATGACTTTTTTGAAAGGAATCTTGACGTTTCTAAATCTGCACAGCGTAAATTTTCAAACTTCATATTTAGATATGCTGCTTGTTTAATCTTTTTTTTTTTTTTCAGATTCAGCTTTGTTACAGAAAAAGAAGTCAAACTGGAGGAATAGTAAAAGTTAATCCTGATCTGTAATCCAAACCAACCCGGGAGGACTGGTTGGGTTTGGGTTCACGTGTTGAGGGCAAGTTCAACTCCCGGAGAGTCCTAGTGGTTCCTGCTCTTTTAGCGTCCCCTGTCCAAATCCGGCTGCAACTGCAGCCTAAAATGTGGGTCATGACCTGAAACCAGCGTTTAGCTGTGTTCAAGGAGCACCTTTCAAACACATGCAAAACACGGAGAGCTTGAAGAGCAACAACAAGACTTAGCAGGAAACAATTGTTTCCTTATCAATGAGGAACAATTCATAAGTCTGGCCTGATAATGAATGATAACAATTAAGATGAACAGCAAGAACAGCTAAGGTTAAATGTTTTGTTTTACAAAATCCAATTTTTTTAAGCGGTATAAAATAAGCCCATGTCCTGATGCCACATCCTGCCATGGATCGGCCATTGGTTTACCCATCCAAAGTTTGATTTTCAAATATACATTTGAAAATGTTGTAAGTAGATTCACAGATCTTACATATTAATTTATTACCGAGAAGGCAGACTACTCCCATTTATTTCATCGGTCATCAGAGACAAGAGTCCTTAATAAGTTATTCTGATCTTGAATTTATTACCTTTTTATTTATCTGATAAATCATTTTCATGATCAACAATATGTGGGGCCGAAAATGTATTTTTGACCAAAATTATGACCAAAAAAGTCATGTAAATGTGAAAACTGATTTCTAAACAAAAACATCAATTAAATAAAATCACATATTATAAAAACTGATTGCAGAGATATTGACCCTCTTGGCTGCCGTCTGAGCAGGGAGTCAGAGTGGATCCCAACGGCTCTTCACTAGCCTAGCCACACATTCTCAATTGAATTGAGGTCTGGGCTTTGACTAGGTCACTTCAGAACTTCCACATTGTTATTTTCAAACCATCTCTGTGCAGCTTTCGCTGTTTGTCTGGATAATAAATGTTCCCTGAAGACATTGTTCTCCTGCAGATGGAAACTAATTGTCCTCCAGGATTTCATTTGTTCTGCTGCCTTCGTCTGACCTTCTACATTTAAAATGCTTTTCGGGCCTGTTGCTGAGAAGCCCCCCACAGCATGACACAGCCACCACTGTGCTTCACAGTGGAGACATTGTGCTTGTGGTGATGTGCAGTGTTTGGTGTCCATCTTGTGTGTCTGGGCAAAAGGTTCTGGTTTGGGTTCTGTGTTTTTCGCTGTCTCTTTTATGGGCTTACACTCACAGTGCTGCGGCTAACATGGAGCAATTTTGTGATTTTTCTTTTGTCAGAAAATCCAAAAATTTGTTGATCGTGACTGAGCAATGTTCACTGGAGAGCAGCCAGTTAACCCAGCGTGGGTGGTTTTGGAGTTGGAGGGGAATCTTTGGGGGAAAGTCGAGAGCTTCTTGTTCTGAGGCAACAGAGGTATTGGCGTCCCCACTGTGCAGCCCGGGGGAAATGCTTTTGCTGCCTAAATTCCAGCTTAAGTGGCATCTGCAAGGATTTAATGATTAATGGACCATTCAATGGACGTCTCACTAACTCATTTTCAGAGTAAAGACTTTCTGTTCTCTGTTGTACAATTACACCTAACAAAATGTCTGCCTGAAAAGCAAATTTTCAGAAAAGAATGCTAGTCTATTTATAGGCTTTTTTTTTTATTTTTTTAGGTGCTTTGGTGCATTTCTCACATCATCCTTGATGTTTGCAAAACAGTAATTGCATTTCTCAAAATAATTTCTTCAAACAGCAAGAAACCATTGGAAAAACTGCAAATTCCAGTCTGTACTTCAAAACGCTCAGCTCATTTCTCAAAATGAATTATCTGTGTCAGCGAACATGTCAGCGCTTCAGAATGTCAAGTCTTTTGTTCATTGCAAGCGGCAGGGCCTTGCAGAGGCTTTTGGAGGGCCCGGGGCTCAGAGTTAAAAAGGGGACACGATCTTAAAACAACAACATACCAACGACCCATATT